TTCAATGTGCCGAGGATGAGAAGGGTGGCACAGGACAGGACAGAGTTCAGAGCTCTTACGGTCACTGTGAGTTGTGTTGAACTTGATGGTACGTGACAACAACAACAACAACATTTTGCAGATATAATCTGGTCAGGAAGTATTAAAGAATCCTTAATTAATCATCCAAAACGGTTGGAACAGTGCATTGACAGAGATCTGACAGAAATGAAGCTGGGTTTAGAGGAGGTCCCGGCACCAGGGATATATCATTGCTGATATCAGATGGATCTATGCTCACTAAGTAAGTGTTCTCATTTCAACTCTAGAATCGGGAGCCCAGGGCCATGTCCTCTCCCTAAGGACAGCTCTGCGGGACTCTCTCGACCATGGTCTTTAGGACCCGACAGCAAATGCATTCAAATTACTTTCTGTTTTACAGTCACTTTCATCGATTACTTGAAGGCAGCTTGTTAACTGTGACTGGATTGTCATGAACTTGCATTACTCATGACAAGCCCATGTGCAGTGGGACTGGATGGCTGTGACTTGTGAGCCCTGAGGTTTTTACTGGCTAGTGTTTAGAATTAGATTATCAGCTTCTCTTCCTCGTCTATCCTAGCCTGGATGCTCCTCTGGAATCCATTCAGAGAAATGCACTGCCCCGCTGGAGGCTGACAGTGCCCTGCCCAAGGTGCACCTGCTAGGAACAGAATCCAGGTCTTCTGCACGGAAGGTAAGAATTCCCCCAACTCCCCTGCTTCCTGTTCATTTCAGGCATCTTGTTGGTTCTGATCACCAAACCTTTACTTCTCTTACTCTGCACCAAAAGGGACTCAATCCTATTATTGTTGTTGTTGTTGTTATGTGCCGTCAAGTTGCCTGCAGCTCATAGCAATCCTATGTACAATAGCCCTAAACCCTGCTCTATGCTAACCTCACTGTCTCTGACACACCCACCCCGACCAGTCACTGAATCAATCCACCTCATAGAGAGTCTTCCTCTCCTGCGCTGTCCCTCCACTCTCCCAAGCACGGCATCCTTCTCCAAGGACTGGTCCCTCCTTGCAACATGTCCAAAGTATGTCAGAGGCACCTTCAAATCCTTGCCTCCAAGGAGCAGCCTGGCTTAACCCTCTCCAGGATGAACCCTGTTCATTTTCGTAGCAGTTCATTCAATACTCTTCTCCAACACTACAGCTCAAATGCATCAATTCTCCTTCTATCCTCCCTAGTCATTGTCCAGCTCTCTGACACACAGCATGTGATTGCAAAGACCATGACCTGGATCAGACGTACCTTTGTCTCCAGAGTGACACCACTGCTCCTCAGTACTTTGGAGAGGTCCCTAACAGGAGAATTTCCCATCCCAATTCTTCTTTTAATTTCCTGGCTGCTGGTGCCAAGAGTGTTGACTGTGTAGCCAAGCAAACTAAAGCTGTGAACAATTTCAATCTCTTCACCATCCATCCTGGTGCTGCCAATTGGTCCAGTGGTGAGAATCTTTGTCTTCTTGATATTGAGCCTCAATCCATATTGGAGGCTGCAGTCCTTGACACTCTGCAGCAAGCGCTTCAGGTTCTCCTCAGTTTCAGCAAGCAGGGTTGTGTCATCTGTATAATGCAGATTGTTGACGTATCTTCCTCCAATCCTGATGCCACACTTCTCCTCATATAGCCCAGCCTCCTAGATAATCTGTTTTGCATACAGGTTGAAAAGGTATGGAGAGGACACATTCCTGGCGCAGGCCCTTCCCAATTTTGAACCATGCAATTTTTCCTTGCTCTGTTTGGACAACTGCCGCTTGGTCCAAGTTTAGGTTTCTCATTAGCACAATTAAATGTTCTGGGATACCCAATCTTCTCAGAGTCAGCCACAATTTTTTATGACCCACAAAGTCAAACACCTTTGCATAATCAATGAAACACAGATAGACATTCCTCTGGTATTCTCTGCTTTCAGCCAAGATCAATCTAATATTAGCTACAATATCCCTAGTACCACAACCCCCTCTAAACCCAAACTGTAATTCCTCCTCAGCTGTAAGAGGAGCTCGCCAAGCTAAGTTGAATATGTACAGCAGCTCACCTGTACTTCTATGTATCACGTATTAAGCGATCCTGAGACTTCAGAAACCTTGGGTATGATGATCTCTTCCTGTGCTTTTCCCCCTGACAAATTCTGAAGGGATATATTCCTTAAAAACAGAAACAATCCCCAAATCTCCCTATTTCCCTAATCAGTAGAGTCAAAAGATGTATTACATTGGACAAGGGAGCTCTGGCGGCCTAGTGGTAAGGAGCTGTGCTGCAATCCCAAAGGCAGACGGCTCAAATCCACACGCTGCTCAAAGGGAGAAAGATGAACAATCTCCTCTCCTGTGATTAACTGCCTTTAAAAACCCACCAGAGGGTCAGCTATGGGTTAGTTCCAACTTGATGGCCCACTGTAACAGCAACAATGCATTGGAAAAGTCCACTGTCAAAGATCTCTCCAAATTACTGAGAAGCAATGATGTCAGTTTGAGGACTAAGGTGCGCCTGATTCAGGCCATAGCATCTCCAATCATTTGCTCTGCATCTGACAGTTGGACAATGAATAAGGATGGCAGGACAAAAATTGATGTCTATGATTTGTGGTGTTGGAGAAAGGCACTGAGTATCTCATGGATCTTAAAAAAAAAAACACCAAAACAATAAAACACTAACAACCAGATGTGTCTTGGGAAAAGTGCAGACAGAGTGCTACTCAGAAGTAAAGGTGGTGAGATTTCATCTCACACCTTTTTGGCATGTTGCTAGAAGTTATTCCCTGGAAAGGATACTCTGCTTGGAAAGGTGGGGAGGGTCAGTGAAAGAGAGGAAGACCGTCAATGAGATGGATTGACACAGTGACTGCAGTGATGGGATCAACTGTGTCAGAGATGCTGAGGACAGCACAGGAGAGGACACGATTCAGATCTATGGTTCATACAGTCGCTATGAGTCATGTTTAGATCAACAGTGCTTAACAGTAACAACTCATTAGGGGTCCTTAGTCTCTCCATGGTTAATACACACCCACTGTAAATGACAACACTTCTAGCAGTTATACTCGGTAAGAGCATCTATTTTGTATTTAGACGGGCCTTCTCATTGGCCCTAACAAAGTCAATTATACAGGTAGCTGTGGACAGACCAGAGGGTCTTTCTAGAAGGAGAAAGCTCCTTTTTTTAAATTTTTTATTTTATTTTACTATATTTTGTGTGTGTACTGTCAAATCGGGTCTGACTGGTACAGGAGGAGATTGCAGTGCAGCTTCTTGCCACTAGGCCACCAGAGCTCCCTGAGAAAGCTCTTAACACTTGAAAAGATCAGTCTAGATTGCTTCAGAAATGGAATCCAGTATTAAGTTGTAATATGCACACAAAAACTCTAGAATTACTCTACTTCAGTGGCTAAGGATGAGATACCACTTAAAAAAAATAATCAAATTGCAGAAACACAAAAGGAGTGTCAGTAGTTAAGCCAGATTCTAGGCAATCGGTTTCAAAGGCATGTTAGCCTTTATTTGTGGGTCTGGAGTAAGAACGCATGAAGCAGTGTTAAACCCTCAAAACCAGACTCTGATTTGGAAGCAGGAGCGGCATCCACTCCTGAAATAGCTTGCCTCCAGAAACCCTATAAACCTGGAGACTTAAGGACCGAAGTTATACAAGTGTCCAGGTCTTTCGTTTACAGAGTCACTATGAGTCACCTATGAACAATGGCATAGAGAGACCAGATGGCCTAGTGGACAGAAAGTGATGCTACCAAGCCAAAGGTGGGTGACTTTAATTCAAGGCCCTCAGGCCTGTTTTTAACTGTTTTCGGTCAAACTATCTTCTAGGTCGTACAGCCCCGGTGTGTCCACTTGCTGTACAGAGGTAACTCGTGGTTGCTGTGAAGCTGAACACTGTGACACTGCTGTGTCAAATGCAAGAATGGTTACCCATGGTGGACAGTGGTTGGTGGAGTTCCCTGATTAAAACAAGCTTGGAAGCAGGACTGGCATCCACTTCCGTAATAGCTTACCTCTGGAAACTCTATGAACTTGGAGAAAGGACAAAAGTTACAAGTGTCCATGTCTTCCGTTCATAGAGTCACTATAAGTCGCCTATGACTCAACAGAACTTAACAACAAATATTTTTAAATCTACACAGTAACACTGGAAGCAGGAGTGGCATCCACTTCCTAAACAACATGCCTCTGGAAACTCTATGAATTTTGATAAATGTTGATCGTTGGGGAGAGGCTTCAGGCCTTTTGTTCATAGGGTCGCTACAAGTCGTGCTCAACTTGATGGCAATCAACAACAACAACAACAACAACAACACAATAACAAGCACAACCCAGTAAGATCTTCCCATGGAAACTTCTGAGGTGCTCTGGAAATAAAAGATGAAGAGCTGACATCATGTAAGGGCCACCACATGATTCAAAATTGGAAATCACTTGCCTTTTCTTGGGGTCTGGGGAACCATACAAACTTTCTCAGTTGTTAACTACAAATAGAAGAGGGAAAACACCTGTAAAATGTGATACCAATTTCTTAACGATCTAAAGCATACATGTTACCCACTTAGAGCACAGTGACAGTATAGTTTCTATTTTCCTATCTTTACACATTTGTGTAAAAGTCTGTATAATGTATCTTCTGTGGCAGGAAAGGTGAAGAAGGAGGGAAGGGAGACATGGCAGGGAGGGATTTTGAGGATTTTCTGAAGCAAACGGGCTTTTCCTGAGTCTGCTTTGATGATTAGGGAGCTCTGGTGGTGTAATGGTAAGGAGCTGCACTGCCAACCCAAAGGCTCCAGGTTCAAATTCACCACCTGCTCTGAGAGAGAAAGATGGGCACTCTTCTCCCGTAGAATGTAAATCCTCAATTATCTGCTGGAGGGTCAGCTGTGAGTTGCTTCCAACTCGAAGGCACGTAACAACACTGAAACAAAGGCCACCGGTACTTGTGAAACAGAAATGACACAAACATGAACAAACTCACTGTTCAAACAAGTGCCTGCTCACTTCTGCATCGACGGCACTGAGAGGGTCGTCCAGGAGGTAGATGTCTGCATCCTGATACACCGCCCTGGAAAATGGACAGGTGTCAGAGAGGACAACGGAGCACCTTTCCAGGCCTGCGCCTGAGGAAGCTTGACAGGCCCCAGCCATTTGGAGGCTCATTCCGAAAGAGAACTTCGAGAACTCCAAGGTGAGGACTTTGGATAGCACCCAACACACAATAACCACCTTATAGACACCTGACACTATTATGTATAAGACAACATACATTTTTGTTTCTCCAATTTAATGTATATTTTTCAACTGCACAACTGCATATTTTTTAGGAACTTTTAAAACTGTGATTTAGGTGAAAGTTTCAGAACAAAATGGTTTGCCATTGGACAATTCATACATGTTTTGTTTCAGGACAATGACTGAACACCCCTACAATGTAACATCACATTACCACTTCATCCATGTGTATCCCATCTCCACACATCCCTTTCTATACCTTCTGACCCTGATTCCTGGGTAAATGCTACTCTTTTGCTCTTGATTGCCTGAGCTGCATACTACTCTCATAACACAGCAATTTTAGCAAGCTCATTTCTATTCAGGGTCTATCCAAAGTCATAAAGCCTTAAAGTGCAAAAGAACCTTACAAATAATGCCTAAAAATTCGGAAGAGCTTTTGTTAAGTGCTTACGCATACTTATCAATCAGAATGTCTTCTCTTCACGCTCCTCCAATGACACTAAAATAAAGCCCACAGGAACTGGCCTCAGAGTGATAGAACGTACGTATGTGCTCTCACAGATGCCTGAAGAGTTTGGAGTGGAGGGCTGGGCAGTGGGAACAGGGAGGCTGAGCTGCCCAAGAGAGAATGGGGGGTCTGTCCCACAGCTGGAACAGCTGGTCACTGAACTGCGAGTTACCTGGCCAAGTTGATACGTGCTTTCTGTCCTCCGCTCAGCGTGGCGCCACGATCTCCTATCACTGTGAGATCACCGTCCTCCAAAAGCTGTAAATCCTGTGTGAAGATAAGAGGAGGATAAAAAAAACCCTTGAAAATGTTGTCCTATTGTCATCCTAAACTGCTACCATTCATTTCTCAAGAAGAGACAGACATTTAATTAAGAGCAATGCATATACTTCATAGTCGATAAATGATAATCTTGAGCCATTCAAAAAACTTTTAGGGCTCTCTGTTCCATTTCAGTTACATTTATACCAATCTGTTATATAACTATTTAACAAATATATACTGGGCACCAACTATGTGTAAGGCATTGTAGAAGAAACAGTGAAAAACAGTGATTCAAACAGAGTTCCAAATGTTTCCATGGCAGGGAAACGACAATGTAAGAGGAAGCAAATGATTATGAATGAAAAGAGTGACAAGAGCCAAAGGGGAGGGGGAGACGGGGAAGCCAGCTTCAAGTCTGGGGAAAGACTGGAGTCCATCTTCTATAGGAAATCAGCTGGGATACAAGCACAGACCTGCGGGAGGCAGAGGGAGTCCAGACTACAGGGCACGTGTGTGCCCAGTGTACTCAACCAAGAGCACGGAAGCCAGCAGAGCTGGGGCAGAGCGCTGCAGACGAGAGCGGAGAAGACAAGACGAACCATGGCTGAAGCATATACGTGGGAGAGGATCAATTAGGAAATTTAGTGTTACCTGTATGTTGATACTTTTTAAAAAACAAGCTTATAGATGAGGCAGGAAGAATATGAGACACCAGGGGAAGATTTGTCAAGGCTTTATCCTCAGTGGAATAGGAAGGGGAACTGGGGAGCAATGACACCATCTAACTTGTTGTTATTATGTGTCATCAGGTCACTTACGACTCAAAGCAACCCTATGTACAACAGCTCTGAACCCTGCTCTATCCTGAGCTAACCTTATTGTCTCTGAAACACCTACCCTCATTACCCCAGTCACTGAATTAATCGATCTCATAGAGGGTCTTCCTCTCCTATGCTATCACGCCACCCTCCCCAGCATGATGTCCCTCTCCAAGGCCTGGTCACTCCTTGCAACATGTCCAAGGTATGTCAGAAAGAGTTTGAGAATCCTTGCCTCAAAGGAACAGCCAGGCTTCACCCTCTCCAGGACAAACTTGTTTGTTTTCCTAGCAGTCCATGGAATATTCAACACTCTTCTCCAGCACCACAGCTCAAAGGCATCAATTATCTTTCTATCATTGCTAGCTATTGTCCAGCTTTCTGATGTCATGTAACTTAGGTTCTTAAAAAAAATTTTAAAAATCACACTTTTCTAAGTCTTTCATCCCTCTCCCTCCACCCACCAAATTCTACAACTCTATGATGTTTCCCCCTCTGCACTCTCAGCCCCTCTACTTCCCTTCGTTGCCACCCCTCCAAACTTTTATCCACATTGTACTCAGTTATCCTTCTATTTTTACAATAATGACCTTGGGCAGTATTTGTCTTTATGAGACTGAGTTAGTTAGTTTACTCAGCATAATACACTCTAGCCTCTCCTATGTTACACAGTATTTTAGGAAACCGTTGCTCCTAAGTGTTACATAGTAGTCCATTGTAGTGGGCATGGAACAAGTGAGGTTAATTTTCTAAAACAGAGTGTATGGAAATGATCGTATGAAACACAATGTCAATGAAGGAATGCGAAAAACACAATGTACATGAAAGGAACACAAAAGACACAAATTTTGTATGTAAACTAATATGTTGCTGTTGTTATGTGCCATCAAGTTCCCTGAGACCTAAAGCTACTCTCCGTACAGCAGCTCTGAAGCCTGCCCTGTCCTGAGCCAGTCTTACTCATTTCAACACACCTAACCCCATTTCCCCAGTTACTATATCAATCCATCCCATCTGGAGTCTTCCTCTCCTGTGCCATCCTTCCCTGGGTGACCCTGATGGTATTAAAATATTGGTGACAGGTTGTAGCATCAAAGAAATGTTCCAGTTCACTGTAGTACAACACACTGACAAACAGGTGATCCTCAATGTTAATGAAACAGAATGTGAACAATGACAGCCGAGTAATAAGGAGGTGTGTGGTTCAAACCCAGTAAGTGTCCCTTGGCAGAAAGCTGACAATCTCCTCCTGTGTGATCTACCGTCTCTGAAAACCTGGCGGAGGGTCAGCCACATGTGGGTTCCACTTGGCAGCAATGAGAGTCAAGAGGGTGTCATGTTAAGAGGTGTCGTGGAGTCAATCAACGCCAAACGACAGGGGCCCTGCTTGGTGAAACCACTGCAGAGGGTTTTCCAGGCTGTACTCTGTATAGGAGGGAGTTCTGGTAGCACAGTCCATAATGTCTTACACTGCTAACCAGAAAGCTGCATGTTTCTGATGGTTCAAATCCACCCAGGGCACCATGGGAGAAAGATGGGACGTCTTGTGCCGTGAAGATTTACATTTTCAAAACCCTGACACTACGAGGCAGAATCAACCCAAGAGCAGGGGGCAACCTTTACAGCCACAAATGCCAGGCCTCTGCTCTCCCAGGGAACGGCTTTGAACTGCCAACTTTTTTTTGTTTACAGCTGAGCCCATAACCGTTACACCACAAGGGTCGCATGTAACACATGGCATTGTCACTAATATAACCAGAAGAAGAACTCTGCTCCTTTCTGGAGTCAAGAGACTATAAAAGAAACCTTTGTTTATTCGTGCAGGCACCCATTTAGAGAACGTACGAATCCATGGTATTGCCTAGAGTTCTTACAGAATGTTGTTTCTACTCCAATTAATAAGAAAGTAAACAGACAAACATCTACATTCCAGGCAGTTCCCTGCCTCTTGCAGCTATCATATCCCCACCTGTGAGCCAGGCTGTGTTAAACAAAACCCTAAGTGGCATTTTTAGCTCTAGTCAGAAAACCATCTGATCCAACACTGTCATTTACACAGGGCTCTCAGAGGGTCAGGCGGGTACCATGGGCATCCAAAATACCACCTCCTGGACCAGGACTCCCCTCCTCCTCTACCCTGAGCTTAACTCCCTGCTGAGGAAGGAATCCAGCAAAGGATACAGACTGCATCTCACTGGGTCAATCAACAAACAGGGTAACAGACAAGATTACGAGACATGAAACAGTAAACATAAACAGCTCCACCATCAAGAGCACTGGACAGTCCGGCCTAAGAAGGACTGAGTCACTCACTCTGCGGTCCATGTGCCCTGAGGGTGGCGATGTCAAGGAAAACAGTGTGCATCACTGGACGTCCCCACATCCCTTCCTTAGCTGGCTATTCAGCTTGGAAAGGTGGAGGGACAGAGAAAGAGAGGAAGACGTTCAAACAGATGAAATGACACAGTGACTGCAGCAATGGGCTCAGGTATGCCAGAGGTTGTGAGGACGGCACAGGATAGGACAGGGTTTGGATCTGTTGTTCACAGGGTCATGATGGTCGTACCTCAATTTGAAAGCACCTAACCACTACTCCTCTGTTAGCTTGGTCATTGAGACTTTCACACTAATGAAAAGAACGGTGGTTCAAATCTACCAGCAGCTCTGTAGGAGAAAAATATGGAAGCGCATTGCTATAAAGATTTAAACTTTAAAAACCCTGTAATAAAGTTCTACATCATTGCTAAGAGACAGAAAGGGTTGACAGCAGTGGGGTTTCGGTATTACTGTTTTACATCTGCATTCTTCTCTCTTTTCTCTATGGACTATGTAAATAAAAATCAAATTCATTTCTGCTAGTTTCATGTCATTTCTAAAAACACAATAGCTTTCATTGACAACACAGGAGAAAGAAAGAAAAATCCATTGAACCAGCAATTATTTTTGTCAACATCATTGTATGAAGTTGAGATACTTGATGATATTCCAACTACTGTCCAAGCAAAATGACTATTTCTTCACAGAGCTGGTTTGGCGCTTTCAAAGCCATGCCTTTTAAAGGCTGTCCTAGCATTTCCAAAAGTATAAAAGAACAGTAGGATGTCCAGACTGCATTGAACAGACCCTGTGGAGAGTCCTTTAACGCTTATTATTCTTGGATATTTTTTTTTATCCCAAAGAATGTAACACAGAGGACAGTGTGCTAGTCCCTGAAGTCACAAATAAATGCATTTACCTTTCCCTTACATTCTAAATTCTATTCTCCTATTAGGTATGTCCAAGTACAGGTTTCTCATCAGGATGGATGGTGAAGAGATTGAGATTGTTCACAGCTTTAGTTTACTTGGCTCCACAGTCAACACTCTTGGCACCAGCAGTCAGGAAATTAAAAGACATATTGCGATGGGAAAGTTTGTTGTTAGGGACCTCTCTAAAGTACTGAAGAACAATAGTGTCACTCTGGAAACTAAGGTGTGCCCGATAAAGGTTCATGGTTTTTGCAATCACTTGCTATGCATCAGAGAGCTAGACAATGACTAGGGAGGACAGAAGGAGAATCGATGCCTTTGAGCTGTGGTGTTGGAGAAGAGTATTGAATATACCATGGACTGCTAAGAAAACAAAGAGGTTCATCCTAGAGAGGCTTAAACCAGACTTCTCCTTGGAGGCAAGGATTTTGACATTTCGTCTGACATACTTTGGACATGTTGTAAGAAGGGAGAGGTCCTTGGAGAAGGATGTCATGCTTGGGAGGGTGGAGAGACAGCGCAGGAAAGGAAGACCCTCTATGAGGCAGCTTGATTCAGTGACTGGGGTAATCGGGATGGGTGTGTCAGAGGCAGTGCAATTGGCACAGGATAGAGCACGGTTTGGGGCTGTTGTACACAGGGTCGCTATGAGTTGCAGGGGACTCGATGGCACACAACAACATTAGGTATGTTGAGGTAGCTCTGTGGGTGGTCTGGAATGAGCTGGGCTGCTAACCTTTAACCCGCAGGCTAATTCCTCGGCCTCTCTTAGCTGCTCTGAGAAAGAAAGATGAGCAGTCTGCTCCAGTGTAATTCCTAACCTCCGAAAACTCACTGGAGGGTCAATCATGCATTGTTTCTGATTCCATGGCAATGAGCTTGAGCTTGAGTGTTAGGTGTGTTGAGGGTGTCTCAGCAGATTAAGAAATGAGCCATTAATCCACAGGTAAGTGCTGAAGTCCACCAGCCAGGGACTCCACAGGAGAAAGAAGGGTAGTTTGCTCCCAGGGAGACTCACAGTCTTGGAAAATCAATGAAATCACTCTCTGTTCCAAAGCAACTTTCCTTAAGAGTTAGGACTTGAAAAGATGATATAATATGTATAAAGCAATAGTCACTGTTTTACAACTCGGAGCTCCAACAAGCACTATCCACAATGGGAAACCATCATGGTGTTTGATGCCCCAATGACACAAGGTTCAGCATCACAGCAAACCCAGGTTACTCCATACAGCACACTGACGTAGAGTGATGTACAAAGTGGAAGAGTGTTCCTCCAGATATAACAGCACTAGTCTCATTTAGCAGTGGTTAAGTGTTGTCGAGTCGAATATGACTGAGAGTAAGCTCTGCACACAAGATCTGAACTCTTCTATAATTAACATAATTTCTGTACATTTAGAGAGTTTGTAGTGTTTCCAGAGGCATCTAGTTTAAGAAGTGGATGCCACTCCTGCTTCCCAACATGAAACAATCTGCAAGCTCATCCAAACATTGTACATAATGGTAACCATTGTGGTTGCTGACATGACTATGACACAGTGTTCAGCATCACAGCAACTCCCAGTTGTTCAGTACAGCAAATGGACAACTGATTACTGTGTCTTTTAAAGAATATTCATTCTAAAATTAACAAATTTGTCCCAAGGGCCCATGGCCCTCAGCCCTGAGGGATTTAAAGCCATACCCTCTAGTGGGTCTCCACCCTTGATGAAAGGCTCCAGGGCCACCTGCTTTGGGGGGGGGGGTAAGGGGGAGAGCACTAACAAACATCAAACACAACCCCAAAATCTTCCCTTACGTGAACGTCATCAAGACAAGCCCGCCATCGAGATGCTAGCTAGCAGACAATTTCCTAGACTGGAGACTCCAAGGCCCCAGGCCCCCGTGATGACATAGTGCTTTATGTCAACAAGTTTTCTTTTACTGAGTATCAAACCATGTCACGGTAACTTGGATCTTAATAAAAGGGAAACGAGTTTGTACAGAAAAAAAAAGTGCCTAAACTCTTCAAATCAAACAACAGTAGCGTATGATTACTACAGAATATGTGTCTTAAGCATTGAGCATTTTCAGGAACTATCACTAGGGGATCTAGTTGACAGCAACAACTCAAAAGATAGAAAACCTAGAGGCAGTGAGTTTCCGGGGGAGTTCTAATCTGAGGAAGAAGGGTGAACACCATTCCACACCTTGAAGAAGACTGTCAGGGTCACCAAAGCAGGCCTGCAGAAAACGACGGACTGGTGTCTATTTTGAGGAATACAATTCCAACAACAATAAAGTAGGGCATGATTTTTAAAAATAATGAGCTCAATTTCCCAATTTAAAACCAGAAAAGCATTCTGTGATCATTCCTGTCACAGCAAGATCAAAAGAGCATTGTATGAGCGTGTTAACCCAGAAGACTAGCTTCAACTACTTAAGTAACATTCACAGTAAATAAAACACAAAAGTTTTCACACTCCATTCAGTAGCCTACCATGAGATTTGAGGAGGATTTGAAAAGGATTTGAAATTCGCAGGTCAGGAACTCACCTTTTTCAAGGCACACGCTTTGATGACTTTTTCGTATCGCTCCTTCTCGTATTTCTTCCCAAACAGAATATTGCTCCTCACGGTTCCTGAAAACACCCAGGGCTGCTGGGAAACGTAGGCGATGCTGCCCTGCACGCTGACCAGCCCATGGCTGGGGGACAGCTCTCCCAGGACAGCACTTAACAGGGAAGACTGCAAACAGACGGGAACAAGTCACCACTCAGCGTCAGACACTGTCAACAGGCCGGGCCACCACAACCCGGCCTTCTCCCAGCCCTGCGGCTGGAGACACGTTATCATCCTTTCATGGGAAGCAGGAAGAGTTACAGCACTGGAAACCACAGTAAGAAGTGGGGGAAAGCACGGTGGGTCAGTGTAAACCAGCACTTTATAATAAAAAGAAACCGAGCCGAGCAGAAAGTCCTGCTGTTGAGAGCTGTCGAGTCAAAGCTGACTCAACCAGACGCCATGAGCAGGGATCGAACCCCCGGCTCTGCGTCCTCCTCAGTCCGTCCTGTGTCCAGTCTCGTATTCACCGCATCATTCATCTCACCAGTGTCCTTCTCTCCTACACTGACCTTCCACCTTTCCAGGGACAATGTCCTTTTCTAAGATGTGAGAGATAAGGGCTCACCATCTTCACTGCTGCTTCTTCTTCTTTTTTTTTAATTTCAGGTAAATTTTATTTTGCTTGGAATTGAAACATACACACTCATTCTTTCAAAACGATGCGTTGATATTAGAGATTTTTAGTACAGAAATGCACTACACGTTACTAATAATTTGGAGGAGTATTGCCTGCTTGCTTCTCCTCGCTACTCAATAATAAATACAATACTACACACTTCTTACACAGACTGTTCCTACTGTTGTTGTGGACCCTAGAGTCGGAACTGACCCACAGCTGAGCCTCAGGTGGGTTTTCAGAGGCAGTTAATTGCATGGGAAGAGACTGCCCATACGTCTCCTGTGCAGCAGCTAGTGGCCTCGAACTACATGCTTTTGGGATTGCAGCACGGCTTCTTGCCACTAGGCCACCAGAGCTCCCCCAAACAGATTGGTTTGGGATTTTTTGTTCTTTTTTCCTTTTTTTTTAAATTCAACACTCCTCACTAATAGCACAATTCAGAAGTATCTACCTCAATCTCCCCTAAATCAAATCCTACATTATACAAGGAATAATTAAGAATGTTTGCAGAGACATACTAGGCCATACTTCGTCCACTGATCTATAAATTATCCCTGCATTCAAACACAATGTTAGACAAAAGTACTTGCTCCCTGAAGTTATGTATAAATAATACATTCAGAGCACTAGGAAAGACTTATTTAAGGGCAACCTTGAGTAAGTCAGATTGTAGGGAAAACCTCTGCCAGGGTCTCTTGAATTGTTAAAGAACAAGTATATCAGTTTGCCTTTCTACGCAATCTAAATTTGGACAATAAATAATGAAGAACAAATAAGAGTGGACGACTCTGAATGTTGTAAAGAGACTGTACTATGGACAGCCAGAAGAATAAAATCTGGCTGGAAGTACAACTAGGGTGAGCCTTACAGGGAAGGATGGGGAAACTTCTCACATACTGCGAGCAGATTCTGACAGGGCTAATCCTTGAAAAGGGACATCAAACTGGGCATTGGGAAAGAAGCAGCGAAAGAGAGGAAGACCCCCTACGAGGTGGACTGACACCAACAACAGGCTTCAAGGTGCCCTCGATGGTGTGGACGGCGCGGGATGAGCAAGGCTCACTTCCGCTGCTGTCAGGGTCACTGTGAGTTCTCGCTGACTGGAGACACCACGACACTTAACAACAACAACAACATAACCCATGATCTGGAAGAGCAAAAATCCAGCATGAAGGAAAGAAATACTGTCCCATCACACATTCTACATTCCAACTTGTGTGTTTTGTTGGTTTAGAATGTATGAGACTAAGTGTTCTTACATACACGCCCACTGAATCTTGTACAACAAACACACAGGATGTGTCTGCACATGCCTCTCAAAGCTTTAGGCACATTGATCTGAAATGATCTGTGTACCTGTCTCCCTCCTGGGATCTGCTAGAGGCCAACGGCATCTTGCTTGTACTTGGGTCTTCCAGCTCCAAATGGGAGCTGACAGGAATTAAGTAAGTGACATGGGGACAGGTTTTCAGAAGAGCCCTCACACCCTCCAGACGTCCTGTCCTGAGCCTCTAACGTCAACTCTGACAAAAAAGACGTCCCAGTTTAACATCTTCCTTCCATGAAAGCAGCTCCCTTCACAAAGGTGTCAAACTCACAGACAAGGGTTTCCCAGCAGGGCAGCCTGGAGCATCAACAAGGGAAATAGAATATGCATTGCCCAGACGGATACAGTCATGTAATCGAGCTGAAAAAGTAACAATTAATAGAAACTCCTTTGAGAAATGCTGTTCAAGACACAGTGAATTCAGAACTGTGACAAACTCAGCTTTGGGCTCAAACCAGAAACTTTAACAAGGGATGTGACTGAGCATCAAACTGCCAGGTGGTCTAACTCACCTTTCCTGCTCCCACAGGTCCAACCACTGTCAACAATTCTTGGGGTCTGACGGTGAAGGACATGTCTTGCAGGGTGGGACTTTCTGAAGCCTGCAAAGAAAAGATCACAAAAAGACGTCCATTTCAAAACAGTGACATAAGTCATTTCAATAATAGAGAAAATAAGACAATAATTACCAATACATAAGCACAATTAGGGAGCTCTGGTGACTCAGTGGTAAGGCATGGTGCTGCCAATCCAAAGGTGCATGGTTCAAATCCACCGGCTGCTCAACAGGAGAAAGATGGGCCTCTTCTGTAACTGAGTCCAAGAAAAGGCTGGAGGGTCAGCTGCGGGTCAGTCCTGACCCAACAGTAAACAACCACACCACCAAAAACAAACATAATTCGAATCCTTTTCCACGCGATTTTAAGCAATCTTCTTCTGGAGTCTGTTAACCCAGTGTAATTTCTTTGTGGAGTTTGACACACTGGTCAAGGAAATTCCATCCTTGTACAAGATTCTCACAGACACACTATTCTAGAAACTCACAAAATTTAAGTATAACAAATAAATCTTCTTGAAAGGAAAACTTTCTGGGACCCACTAAGTTTCTCCAGTAACATTCATTTGGTTTTTTTAAAAAAGAAAAAAAATTATTATTTTTGTGTTTACCATCAAATCAGATCCGACTGGTACAGGAGGAGATTGTCCCTCCTTCTCCAGCAGAGCATCTGGTGGATTCAAACTGCATGCCTCTGGAACTGCAGTGTGGCGTTCTTACAATGACTATTCTGTGGTCAATGCAACATTGGCTTCTGTCTAGTTTCATCACTTCCACAAGGTGGCAGCATGGGAACACAGTACGCCCAGACACAGAGTCATAAACAATTTGAACTCTCCACATATCTCTGCATTTTCCCTTGATCAAGATTCTGTCTCATATCGCTCAACAGATTAAACAGTCACCCTAGGCAAATGAACGGCGATGGAGGGCACTACGTAATGACAGCCCTCACATAACCATATAGATAGGATAAACTAGGTATACTGCATTGAAACAGATGAGGGAGAAAATTGTTTAAAAGGTATGTATGATTAGGTATTATTGTCATGACAGGAGTCCAGAAAGAAGGCTGCAAAGTGGAGTGGACCTGCGGGGAGGGACTGCATAACAATGAGAGAATTTTTCTTTTACTTTTCAAAAAGAAGACCAAACTGGAGGGGTGGGGTGGGCAGGGAGAAAAGTGCAACAATGAATGAATGGAAATCCAAAGTCTCTGTAAATTTTCATTAAAATTTAATAATAGTAATAATAATAATAATAATAAAACTTAAGGAAATTAAAAAAAATCAATCATACTGTTAACGTGGAGGGTCTCAGGTTTGCACCTCCATGTAGCCGGAACCACTTATCCTGGACAGGTAAGGACACCAGAGTAGCTGTGCTGTCTATTTTAAGAGAAAGGCACCCAGGCAATCCAATACAAAGGGGACAGACGGCTAAAGCATGTACTGTGCTGGCCAAAACCCCATTCCCGAATGAATCATCTAAACAGACTCAAGGAAAGGTGCAGACTCTAAGGTTCTCAGGGAACTTGAGGGTCTTTCCCAAATAAGGCTTTTCCATACAAACCAAAGATCAGGAATATACTCACTACTGTTAATGAGAAAAAGAAATAAAAAGTGTTTCCTAAGTTTCTCCAGTCACTAGTCTTTTAACAGATGAACTAACTCCCATACAGAACTTTCAAACACTGCAAAATCTGTGAGGAGCCCTGGTGGTACAAGTCTTCAGGGAGCCGCAATGCTGCCCCCCACACAGCACCTCTCTGGGAATTCGGAGGCACCAGAGGTAGAAAGACAGACAGTGAGAACCTCCTCCTGTGTGATTTACAGCCCCTGAAAACCAGGAGGAAGGCCAGCTACGAGTCGGTCCCACTTGGTGACAATGAGTGTGATATTAGGAGAATTAAAAAGGAGAGGGGAACAGCATCCTAGTTACCAAATATAATATTTTTCTAAATCTAAATATCAAAGCTCTCAGAACATTGTGATTGTTGAAAAAGAAGGGGGAAATTGCAATGTGCAGTTTCGAATGGCCTTTATTATCATCTGTAACTGTATTAACAGGTGCACTCTAAGTTAGCTGTGGAGCACAACACTTTATTTTTCTGAGTCTTGGCCATATTTGCCTCCTGCTTGAGAAACTGACCAAATTTGAGCCCCAAGGCTTTTTCTACAAGAGCTGATGTTATTTGCTTTTGGGTGTCACTGAGCCAAGTGTAACTCATAGCGACTCTACGAACAAGATCTGAACCCTGTCCTACGCTCTACAATCCTCAAAATCTCTGCCATCTCAAGCCCATTGCTGCAGTCGCTGTGCCAATCCACCTGGCTGAGGGTTTTCTCTCCATTGCCATCCCTCCACCTTTCCAAGCATGATGTCCCTCTCCAAGGCAGCCTCTCTGAGCAACATGCCTAAAGCATGTGAGGCGAAGCTTTATCATCTTTGTCTGTAAGCAGCAATTTGGCTGCACCTTCCGTAACACGTCTGTCTGTTCTTTTAAGAGTCCATGGAATATTCAGTCCTCTTCTCCAACACCACACTTCATCAATTCTTCTTCTGTCATCCTTATTCAGTGTCCAGCTCTCGGCAGCATTATCAAGTGACTAAAAAGAACATGGCCTGGGTCAGACACACCTTAGTCTCTAAACTGACCTCATTACTCCTCAGTAATTTGGAGCAGTTCCTGTCTACACACTTTCCCAGTGCAATATGTCTCCTGATCTCCTAACTGCTGGTGCCAAGTGTATAGACTGTGGATCCAAGTAAGCTGGAGTCACTGACAGTTTCAATCTCTTCTCCACCTATAATATGTTGTCTATCATCCGTGGAGAGAATTTTCGTCTTCTTGATGCTGAAATGCAACCCATATTGAAGGCGGCAGTGTTTGATCCTCTATAGTAAGACTTCAAGTTCTCACGTTCAACAAGCAACACTGTCATCTGGCACTAGGGCTCCATCAAACGTATAGTGGCAAAATCACTCTTCATATGTCAAAGAAAAATTATCTCAACTGAAACAGGCCCTGCCAACTGCCGCCTTCCGAAGAGGATTCTGGGAACAGGTATCACAGCAGTGTCCCCGCCCACTGCTCAGCAAAGCTTCGTTGTAGGACCACCATGTGCGGGACACAGGGAAGAGATGTGGTGGAGCAAACCCAATGACAACCTAGCTACAGGACGTGGCTGCCGAGTTAAAATCTGAAATGTAGGGGAGCTCTGGTGGCCTAGTGGCAAGAAGTTACAACTACAATCCCAGAGGTGCGTGGTTCGAATCCACCAGATGCTCTGCCGGGGAAGGAGGGACAATCTCCTCCTCTACCAGTCAGATCTGATTTGACGGTACACGCACACAAAAAATAAAAAAAAAAATTAAAAAAAAAATAAAATCTGAAATGTCCTAATATACGCTCCCCAGCCTCTCTCCACATCACATGTGAGGGGCAAAAACATCTGGGAGCTCTGGTGGCCTAGTGGCAGAAGTTACAACTACAATCCCAGAGGTGCGTGGTTCGAATCCACCAGATGCTCTGCCGGGGAAGGAGGGACAATCTCCTCCTCTACCAGTCAGATCTGATTTGACGGTACACGCACACAAAAATAATAAAATAAAATTAAAAAAATTAAAAAAAAAACAAACATCTGAAAGATTTCACGTTAAAGAGAAGAAATGAACATCTGGATAATCGTCAAAATAAATTTCCTCCAGAAATAATAAAAGTTGACTATAAAATAGTTGTTATTATTTTTAATTACAATTATCTAGGCCTAAAAGTTATCACAATTATATAAACTATCAAGGAGCCCTGGAGTTAAGTGTTGAGCTGGTAACTGAAAGATCAGAGGTTCAAACCTACCAGCTGCTTTCTGGAAAGAAAGCTGTGTCACGCTGCTTCTGTCATGATTACAGCCTAGGAAACTCTGCAGATCATCACAGTGAAGGGCCAGTAAAGTGGCTAGGAAGTGGGAATGACATGGCAACACACAACACAGAAACAATCAGTAAGGAGGGAGGGTTTCAAGGTGAAAACATTTTTCCACTCTTCCCTACATGCGCAATGCTGACAGACTGCTTCAGCATTGTTTTTTTTTTAGTAAGCTAGTAATTCTGTTTACTTTTTTAAAAAATTAAGCTCCACAATCAACACTCTCGGCATCAGCAATCAGGAAGTCAAAAAACAAATTGCAATGGGAAAATCGGGTGTCAGGGATCTCTCCAAAGCACTGAGAAACAACAATGACGTCAGTCTAGAGACTAAGGTGCGCCTGATCCAGGCCTTTGTCTTCACAATAACTTGCTATGCATCAGAGACCTGGACACAACCAAGGATGGCAGAAGAATGATGTCTTTGAGCTGTGGTGCTGGAGGAGAGTCTTGAAAATACCATGGACTGCCAAGAAAACAAACAAGTCCAACTTGGAGAGGTTAAACCAAGTTTCTCCTTGGAGGCTAAGATTTTGAAGCTTTATCCCACATACTTTGGGCATGGCCAGAAGAGACTGGTCCTTGGAGAAGGGCATCATGCTTGGAAGGGTGGAGGGACAGTGCAGGCGAGAAAGACTCAGAAGAGATGGACTGACAGGGCCAATGGGATTTGATATGTCAGAGTTGGTGACACTGGCTCAGGACAGGGCAGGCTTCAGAGCTATTGTACACAGGGTCGCTATGAGTCACAGGTGGCTGTATGGCACATAACAACAACAACAACAAATACTCCCCACCAGCTGCACAGGGAAGGATGGGTATTCTCCCCGTGCAATATACAGCCTCTTAAAACTGTTTAGAGAGTCAGTTATGTGTTGGTTCTGACTTGATGGTAAACCACAACTGTGCTTTTATAAAATGAATAGAAAACCATTTGCTGTCAGCCTTCCTCGCAGTTTCCCGTTAGGACATGATGAACGGGTTCTTATCTCCCCACCAGCAGACCTGAGGTTGTGCGCACTGCCTGAATGTCGCCAAAAGAGGGCAGCATTCAACAGCTCAGGAGTGTGGTCCCTGCCAGTCACCCCGTTCTGCAGACCAGGGGCACACACAGGGACA